TTGCAATGGGTCAGGTTAGTAATGATCATTTTAGCCTGGCCCAAAAAATCTGGACTTGGGCTTAGGTTTTGTGTTCAAACCTGACTTAGGCCTCAACCTACATTAGGCTTGCGAATTTCAGGGAATGACCTGGGCCTAACATTTAAAGTCTATCCCAGATTAAATATATGTATTTTATATATAATATATGTATATATTATTTTATGTTATATTATATAGGCCTGGAATCAGGCTCGACCCGTCCTAAGCCTATAGCCCTTGTCATGGATGCAGAGCCCAGCCTGGGCCTGGCCCAGCCATGAATGCAGAACACTTTTCCATGTTGTAATAAACTATGCATAATAAGCAATATATCTTCTTGTTAATTCAGAACCCACATAGAGCGATTGGTCGTCCCTGAACACATAAAGCATATACTTGTGAAATTCGGTTGTTAAAAAGCTATCAAAATAATCTTTCACGATAAATTATTACATAATGTTGACAAACTAAGCTATCAATAGATCTATTGCCCTTTGGATCATGAGGGGAAGGGAAGTGCTAGACGACGAAAGATATTTAGTCTGGAGAGATTCCTCACGATATGGYGTTGTACCCATGGATGGCTGTCTCCCCTTGCACAACCATGAAAATTTTAACCAGAAGGTAAATTCATAAAGGAGAAACTAATGGCCGACCATAAAAACGATATAGTATAGCTATATTATTGTCTCTCATGGAATACATAGTGAAATTAAGTCTGTGTTACGTTCTTTTCAATAAAAAAAAAAAGTTGTCTGTATACGGAAAAGGTAGAGAAATATATACAAGATTTATATAAGTTTTTTTCCTTTTTTCTTTCTTTTCTCTATCTCTACCTTTAAACTAAATACAGYCTAATTAAAGAAATGAAGTCAATCAAATTAATTCAAAAAATAGGATTCGATTATGACTTAATTAGTCATTAAATATTCTAAAAAAAATTAGTCATCAAATAAACCTATGAGGGGACACTTAAATACATAACCCCTCTTCAAATTAAAAGCTGTAGACAATTGGCTCATAACATAATGTCTATTTGGAAATTGGATTTGATCCTCACAAGGCTGTTCTCACACTGTTGGTATAGTCCCTTTGCAGCTTTGCAATGGAAATATATTTCCATGAAAAAAAGTATACAAGTATGGAAATATTTCTACAATAAGGCTATAAGTGATTGTACAAACGGTGTAAACACAGTCTTGCAAGGACTGAATCCTATCTCATCTACTTGCTGGCTAAAGAAAAAAACTCTAAATATTTAAGTATACATAAGACAAATCCAAAGGGGTGCCCACCATGTGACGGGATCTGCTCCTCACAAATGGATGCCTCACAGGCACATCCACTGTGCATTGGGAATATTTCCCGTGAATAATAACTAATAAGTAAGGGAGATRTTCCCAATACATGATAGGATGTGCGTGTGAGGCGCCAGATGTGAGGAGCAGATCTGGTCTCGCCCACCATACCCTTGTCTTCCCTCAGACTTAAACAGGAATGGCATCACTCAGCCAAAGCATAGAGCTGGTCTTAGTATTGCAAGCATGGTTGTTCAGTGAATCAGCCATTTTGTTACTTTCCGTGTACACATGAGAGATCTTGGTGTTAGTGATGTACGTAACTGATGCCAACCGACGTGCATGGTTATCTCCTCTTGCAAATAAGCTGAACCTTGTGGGGTAAGATAATCTTGCCCTTATCTGTTGTTGTTATGTCCCCTTAGTAGAGGTGTAAATTGGGCTGGGCCACACAATTTTGGACTGGCCTGGCCCGGCACGGCACGACGGCTAATGGGCCGTGCCAGGCCCAGTATGGAGGTCAGTATCGCTTGCGGCCCATGTGCTGGCACAGCCTAGCTCGCGAGGCCGCGGCACGGCACATAACACGGCCTGCCAGGCCCGTAACGGGCCACACTCGGCCCGCTTAGGAATATAGCCGTTGGGCCCCTTTGGGAGGGTTGCCCAACGGCTAGTTTCAGCTTTTGAGGGGGTTTACAGAAATACCCCCCCAACAACTATATAACAACTAGTTTATGGGGACATTTTGGATAAATTTATAAGTAACTTTATAATGACCAAAATATCCCTCCCAACAACTAAATAACTGATAGTTTTTTGGGTATTTTGGGCAATTGAATTATGTTCAATTCCTATAAATAGCCCTATCCTCCACCATTCTCATCACACCAATTCAACAATTCTCTTAATTCCCTCTCTCTCTCTCTCATACTCATACATTCTCAATTATCTACAATATGAGAATTTCTAATTAGTTGATTGTTTGATTTTGCATTCTCCAATTCTCAAGTCTCAACTTTATCAAAGTTTCGCCTTTCAACAAGAAGAAGACTTGCTCAACCAACTCAAGTATCTCAATTCGGGAGGCTTGGACATTCAAAGGCTTCAACCGTTAAAATCAAGTTGAGATTTTGAACTGATAATTTGGATAAGTCGAATTAGATTAATTTTTATCATTTTAGAATTAAAAAAAAAATGACTGGCCCTTCTCAAAACCGATTCCCTAACATGTTCACCATGGATGACATTCAATTACATCACGATAATATTAGTGTTAGCATTGATGCGTTTGATGTCGATGGAAGTGGAACTCTCACCCCTAGTAGTAGTAGTATTATGGGAAAAATGAGGGCTTTTAAACTAAATAGCCCAGTTTGGAAAATTTTCAAAGTAGAGGATATTGGGGGGAAGGGGAAAATGGCCGTTTGTCAAAAATGTRGGAAAGACTTTAGTTATTGTAGCAAGGTGGTACGGGTCATTTGAGCAGATATCTACTCACACATGAGCAAGAGGAAGATGAAGGGAGAGAAACAACTCAAACACATATTGGGAGGGGGACTAGTTTTGATACTTTTAGATATTCACAAGAAAAAATGAGACAAGAACTTGCTAAGTATATTATACATGCAGAACAACCACTTATGTTAGCTGAATATCCAAAGCTAGAAAAATGGTTGCGTAATTCTGTAAACCCACAATATAAAAAAGTTTCTAGGAATACTATAAGAACTGAT